ATTTGACTACACAATAAAATGACATTCTTCTTGCAGCTATTATTGCCAAGGTCACCCAGAAAGAAGCAACAAATCAAATAATTTAAAGAAAATTACAGTCCAATACAGCAGGAAGAGGGTGTTTGTTTTGCCATCAAGAATAGAAAACCTTTTTTGCTAGCCTCCTTCTATTAGCATGCTAGACTCTCTCAGTGAAGCAATCAGTCATGAATAAAGAGGTAGGCAGCATCCAGGAACTCAAATGCAGAGACATCAGTATGCATGCAAGAACTACCTGCTGTGCTGAACACATATCTGACCAAACTGGACTACTGAAACAGCATGTTCATTAAGGCCAAGACTCACACCCACCTGGGTCCACATTATTGCTATTGCAGAACCACACACGGATCCTCTTTGAGGAGATATACGGATGAGTAGAACACACAACAGAGCAGTAATTAAAAACAGGAATGAGTCATTTGGAGTGGTCTTTTGGCTCCTGCTGATCATACAGAAACTACTGAACTTGGTATTGTAGCTTATCAAAACCAACCTGTTTTGGAAAACCCCCATTTCAGGAAAACATCCAAAGGCTTTGGATCTGTGGATTAGATTTGGCTTTGGCTAATGGTTTCCAAGCAGATTTCTGCAGACAAAGTCATCTAGCAAATGGCAGAGATCAGAAAAGTTAAAGTTTCATATTATAATACAGTCCTCAACAAATTAGACACAGAGTTCCCTACAGAAGCTGACATAAAGGCTTTCATCAGCAGTATTTACTGCTGTACTGTGTCAGGATCATGACAGCCCTAACCAAGGATAAGAAAACACTGGCTCTGATAACTTGTAGTCTCAAAACATTAAGACGCAGATCAGTGCCCAAGGACCCCATTGCACTGTGCTTCTTTAAACTTTCAGCTCATTCATATCAACTGCATAACCTTGAATGGAGACAACCATAATCCTACTAGGGAGCTCTGCTTGAATTGTTTGTAGATAGACATACACTGAATCAGAACTATGAAAAAGGCCTTCTGGAGAATCTGAGAACCCAGGTCATAGTGTTTGAAAACTAAATATACTTCAACCACATCTTCAGGGGCTACAAAAAGAAACTCCAGTACAATGTACAATGTATGTACACTCCAGTTACTTGAGGCAGGGACGTATGCAGATGCTGGCGCAGTGCCAGAGTTAATTTATGAGGACAATCATAATTTGGAGTCTCTGATGAAGAAACCACTGTTTCTGTATTTAGAATTCCCAGTAAATTCTGTGCTCTAAATTGGGAGCACACAACCGGGAGTCACTAGCATCTTCCGACAAGCGATGACTTTTTAGAAATCACTGTCTGCAAAGATAAATGTCAAGTGCATAGATGTTTTAGTTAGATCCCCTTGGACTGTGGGGGCTTCATTTTGTTCCCCATCCCTGTCTTCCAACTCAGGGGACTGCATACCTCGAGAACAACCAGTCTTTACTATTAAAGACTAAGGCAAAGAAGACATTAAGTATCTCAACCTCTTCCTTATCCTTTGTAACAAAGCTTCTCCCCACATCCAATACAGGATGGACATTCTCCTTTGCCCTCCTTTTGTTGCCAACGTTTTTACAGAAACATCTTTTATTGCCTGTTACAGCAGTAGCTAAATTAAGTTCTAGTTGGGTTTTAACCCATCAGATTTTGTCCCTGCATAACCTCACAACATCCTTGTAGTCCTCTTGATTTGCCTGCCTCTTTCTCCAAAAGCCATAAACTCTCCTTTTTCCCCAAGTTCCAGCCAAATTTCTCTGTTCAGCCAGGCTGCTCTTCCCCATCAGCTAGTCATTTGGCACATGGTGATGGCTTGTTCCTGCGCCTTTAAGATTTCTTTCCTGAAGGATGTTCACCCTTTCTGTATTCTTTTGCCCTTCAGGACTGCCTCCCAAGGGACTCTGACAATCAGGATCCTAAACAGGCCAAAGTCTGCCCACTGAAAGTCTAAGCAGTTTTGCTGACCCCGCTCCTTCTCTGAGAATCAAAACCTATCATTTCATGATTTCTATGCCCAACTCAGCCTCCAACCATCACATCATCCACAAGCCCCTCTCTGTCCACAAACAACAGGTCCAGGAGGTGCCTTCCCTAGTTGGCTCCCTCACCAGCTGTGTCAGGAAGTTTTCTTCCACACACTCCAGGAACATCCTCGACTATTTCTCTGCTGTGTTGTACTTCCAGCAGACATCTGGTAAGTTGAAATCCCCCACAAGATAGGGACCAGCAATCATGAGACTTATCCCAGCTGCTTATCAAATATTTTGTCTGCTTCTTCATCGTGGTTGGGCAGCCTATAATAGACTCCTATCATGATATCTGCCTTGCTGGTCCTTCCCTTGATTCTTACCCATAAACATTCAATCCTACCATCACCACCATTAAGCTCTAGACAATAAAACACTCCCTAACATACAGGGCTGCCCTACTGCCTCTCTGTACCTACCTATTCCTTCTGAAGAGTTTATAGCCATCCAGTGCAGTATTCCAGTTGTGAGTCATCTCACCATGTTTCTGTAACAGCAACTGCAAAGGTGTGTTAAGATTTCCTGTATCTCCACGAGCACTGTGTTAACTTCTCTTATGGAACCTATTGTAGGACCTTTGCAGAAATCAACCATGTTAAAAAGTGCAACAGCAGCCACATCCATAAGAGCAATAATGGTGTGCCTTACTTTTCTTAGCTCCCATGCAGAATAATGCAGCTGTTAAAACACTGACAAAAGGGAGCCACAAAGTGGGAGGGCCACAAAAATGATCCAGGGGCTAGAACACCTCTGCTACAAGGACAGGCTGAGGGAGCTGGGATTGTTCAGCCTGGAGAAGAGAAGACTCCAGGGGGATCTTATAACTGCCTTCCAATATCTGAAGGGAATCTACAGGAAGGCTGGAGAGTGACTTTTTACAAGTGTCCAACAGTAGGACTAGGGGAAATGGATTTAAACTGAAGGAGAATAGGTTTACATTGGATCTCAGAAAGAAATTCTTTAGTACAAGGGTGGCAAGACTCTGGAACAGATTGCCCAGAGAGGCAGTGGATGCCACCTCCTTGGAGATGTTCAAGGCCAGGTTGGATGAGGCCTTCAGCAACCTGGTCTAGTTAAGGGCATCCCTGCCCGTGGCAGAGAGGTTGGATTAGATGATCTCTAAGGTCCCTTCCAATCTAAGAGATTCTATGATTCTATGAAAAGTTTTGTAAAGCTACTTAAATACACACTGTTATAACTGTGCCCTTTCCTAATCCACTGCAACTAATTTGAAACCAGGGACTATTTTGAATACGTTTATTCTTTCCAGAGGACATTACCTTGGACTTGTCTATAGTGAGTTTGTTTTCCCATCATTCTGTCTCCATGCACTCTGCTCCTCTAGTCTTCACTAACTTTAGAAACTCTTTCATCATAAAGTTCTTGCATGACAGTTCTCTTCTTCAGATCCCTAACAAGGAAAATACAGGTCTCAGCACAGATCTGCAGACACTTAGTCCACAACTTCTTGTTTTGCAGTATTGATTCTTTCCGAATCACCTCACTACAATAATTAACTAAATAGCTTTTTTTTTAAAAAAAGCGCAACTTGACTACGTAGACATCTCCTCCCTCTCCCCGCAGTTTTACTATCTCAGTCATGTAAGACTGCAATCCTTCAGCACAAGTGCCATAGGCCTAGAATGGTTACGAGCTGTTGGAGCACAGTATGAGCTCAATTTACGCTGCAGTACACCAATTTCAAACACGGCGTCTTAAGTGCAGTGATACACTTAAATATGCTGGCACAGTACTAGTAGGACTTTCATTACCTTTTAACATATACTACTACCCCCTCTTTGGAAGAGGGTGTTTCCTTTTAGCAATTTCCTTTTGCCACGCATTTCCCAACATGCCATGGTCCACAGGTCATTGTCTGTGGGTGTTGTGAAGCCTAAGGTAAGTGCAAGCTAACACCACCCCTCCACCACTGAGCTTTCTTGAGGCTCCAAAGTGAGAGTTCATAAGGATCTGTTTAATCCCACTCTGGCTCTGACCTCAGCACAATTTTGTAAACAAGTAATTCTGTATTTTTTTACAGAAAGTTCTCTGCTTTCTCAGCCTAAAATTTCTTTCACATGGGATCACATCTTTTCTCCCGCACCTTTCCTAGAGGAATCCTAGACTTGATGATGAACTGAAAATCCTGGAGCTCCCTGCTAAACCAAACAGCAGGTGGAAAAGGAGCAGCTGAAGCACATGTCATTTCTCACAGCTGTATCTTAGACCTGACCAGCAGGGTGGCACAGGTGGCAGAAGTGAAATTCAAGTTCACTCTCTGGATTCTTTGGAGTGACTATCAAAGAGGTCATCTTGTAGAGCAGTCACAGGGAGTTTCAGAATATGGATATCCATACCCGTAAGACACACTGACTCGCTTCACACAAACTAGATGCAAACACAAAATCACACTGAGCTTGAAGACACAACAGGGAGAAGCAGTAATTTCTCTCTTCATCTCCGAGAGCATTTTGATTTGTAAGTCTGTGCTTTTATTCTGGTTACCCAAGAATACATTCAACCATCATATCAAACCTAAGCATCTACTAACGGGATGAGTTGTCCATCTGTAACATAACCACATGCACAGCTAAGGATGTTCTGCAGAACATTACGCATCTTTCTGGTAGTTTTTGATCACCTCAGCTTCTTGTAGTCGTCCACACAAAAACCCCAAAACCTGTTTGGCCACCTTATATTCTGCTTTTGTGGGATTTGTTTGTGAGTTGTGATTGCTTCTGCCCTCTCTCTTTGACTATCCAGACAAACTCAGTGCTGGCCCCAGTGGAAATACCTGGCTTCATGAACACTTTTTTAATGCAAACATCTTCAATGTTCTACTTGGATTTTCCAGAAGAAAAAAAAGTTGTTGCTTTAAATCAACATGATTAAGAAGATACAAATAACAAAATGTCTGTTCCAAGGAAACAAAAGTCCTTGTAACTATTCAGCAGTTTCTATTGAAATCCCACCAGTCTTCTTATTTCTTTATAGATGGGGGTAGCCAGTTCTTTGGCTTTCTCTGCTCCATCCTCTAAGACCTTTAACAGATGGGATTTGTCTTCCTGGAGTTTCTTGATTTCATTCCTGATAGGTGCAAATTTTTGAATAACTGAGTCTGCTACCACCATTTTGTAGTGAGCAGTGTCAAGACCAGCAGACTGGTGCACCACTTCTTTAATGCTAAGCCCCGTTACTGCAGCATGAATGGACACCAGATTGGAGACACCAGGGCGACTGGCTGGGTCGTAGGTCACCTCAGAGGTAAAGTCAGTCACAGCTTTGCGGAATTTCAGCACTATTTCATCAGGGCTGTCTGCTATGTTAACAGTTGCTAACTTCTGCGGGTCTGATTTGGACATCTTCACTGCTGGATCTCTGAGTGATTTTATTTTCTTCGTTGTACCTTAAATTAAAAAAAAGAAAAAGGGAATAATTATGAACACACATAGACAATAGTTTCTTATGAAAATTGCTAAGAACACTTTGCAGTAGCATGATAAAGCTTTCTGTTTATCCTGGCTTAAAAACGAGTTGTGAGCACAATCATGTATGCTCCTATTTAGTCCTTATGCCCTCCCTGTCCTTCTAATCCACCTTTCTCCTCCCATAAACTAAATGAAAACCTGCTCCCTTTCTCCCTTCCTCACTAAGCAGAAACTTCTGCTGGGACATTTCCTAATATCTTCTGTGGCTACAAGAAGATTTTCCCCAAAACTCCCTAATCCTTACTATTCCTGGCACTGGGGACAAGTTACCTAAAGAGCACTGCGTATTACTGAAAGGTTCTGCAACAGTGGAGAAACAGGTGGTAAAAAAGAACCTCAGAACTTAGATAAACCCCAGTTGATCTCCTTATTTTAGGAAACTCTTTTACCCGAAATCTCTTGGTAATTCTCCTAAATATCAATGATGACTGTTATTAAAAGTTCCCTAACTGAACACTAACCAGCTCCATTAGAGGCAAAACACTGTTCAGGTAAGAAAGGTGTGGGTATTGTATAAATGGCTAAGATAAAAGTGTATATATGAAATAGAACAGGGGGAAATACTGCAAAATATTACAGTAATACAGGGAAATACTGCAAAGTACTTTCTTTGACAGCATCGACTCAACGTGTTTCAGTCTTTCATCAAGAAACATCATTCACGGAGTATCACCGATGTAGAAAGTTCTCACATCAGTTGTTTCTAAACACCTAATACAGCCAGCTAAGTTACCCATGTATTACTCATAGCTGGCCTATGTACTCAGTGAAAGGACAAGTGTTCTTACAGGGTACAATTCAGGCTGCCCCAGGAAGTTCCCCGTTCTGAATCACCTTTCGTCTTGTTGCTGTAAATTTAAAGGAGTCCAGGTAATCTAACTGCCTACAGCTGGTGTGTTTGAACAGGTCCCTATCTCCTCCATTCACCTAGGATATTTCATTGGTTTCCATATACCTGTAAACTTATAAGGGTGTGCTTTTCATGAGGGAAGTGAAAATGTTTGGTTTGTTTTTTAGATTGAGCTTTTTATTTCCTGGGAGACAGTTTCACCTGCATCATAGGCTACACTCACTCCTCATTACACTGTTTAGCCTTTAGTTTTCACCAGAAACTGCAGAGCTTGCAATACCCAAGTATTCTCTAATCTCCACCCTTGGTCTAACATGATTTTTGTCACTGAGGCTTGAAAATTGAGAAAGGTTTATTACTGCCTGTCTTTCTAAGGTGAGAGCTCCTTGCCCTTTTGGGGGCGAAGGTCTCTGCTGTGCATTCCTCTACATTACTTACAACAAAGATGCAATGCTTCTTCCTTGCACAATTCTTCACGTTTCTTAACAAACGTGCCATTTGCGCCATCTGACTCCTCCTCACCCCCTGGCCTATGACCTTGTAACTCAAAAATGGCTGAGAAGATTTTCCTTATAAGTCTGCCTGAGTTCAAGATCAAAAAAGGAAAGTCTAAGCTCTGTAAAAGACCATAACTGAAATATGCAAGTATATATTAAACACAGTAAAAGGATTTTTTGAGCACTGCACCAATACACCTACAAGCTGTTTATCATGCTTAATGTAAACATCTACCACTCAGACATGGAAACATTTTGCTTGCTCGAGGTGTCTTGTCTTGTTGCTTACATGTCTCCTGACCTAGCAATGTAGAGCAGAGACCCTACTCTTAATAAAATGTCGAACGCTGAAGAGCAAGGCTGACTGGCAGCAGCAGAGTGCATCTGGCCCCCTGGACTAGAATACCAGACGTCACATACATTCCTCTACGAGGGATTTGTAAAGCCTTATGTCTATCTTGGGAGTTCAGTTTCACAGCCTCTAGTCTCTTGTCAGTTTTTAATTTTCCACTCAGCATCAGTTTGCTTCCTTTTCTTAGACCCTGAAACTATTTCCACGATATTTAAATCCATCTTCAACCTTGAAGTGCAGTTAAAAAGGAAGGAGAAAACAAAAAAACACCACCAAAAAACAAGACCAGCTCACTTAAAATGGCTTTGGGCACAGGAAAGAATTCTCCATATTTCTTGTTGAAATGTTGTGCTATATCTTGGGCTAGTTCCAGGTGCAGGACTTGATCTTCTCCAACGGGAACATGTGTCGACCTTTTAATAAAAGACAGATACAGGAAACTCAGTAAAGCTCTCTTGCTCTACTGAAATGTTACTCAGGACTGTCACAGCTTCTGCCATGACTGAGGGCCAGGCTGAATCAAGCACTCAGCCCCGGCTAGATACAGGTGCTGTGGGAAGAAGATCCCAAACTGACTGTATCCCAGGATGAGTCTGCATTTTGTGTTGAACTGAAGCAATTGCCAAGGGCGAAAATAGCCCTTTGCGAAAACACACAGGGCAAAGATACCAGTAAGAACAAGTCATTAAACTCAGCTCAAAGAAAGTTTTTTGTAGCATCTCCTGCTGTCTCTCTGGAGATCAAAGAGTACGTGTTAAGAAAGATCTGCAAGGCATAAAGCGCAAACACCTTGCCTTGTCAGGTCTCAGAAAAACATAATTGTTGTTGAGAAGTTAGTACTGTGGATTTATCAAGGGAGGGAAAGAAGAGAGTGGTTATTCCTCATGGGTCACCACTGAATAAATATCATGTGGGCCAGTGCCTCTATTGCCACAAGTGTTATCATTCATAGACTGGAACTGTTAGGATCAAAGGATCATTTGATCTTCTGTATTGAACTCAATAGCTTGAATGCAGTTCTGGAGGAAAACACAATCTGCATCAGAGGACATGAGGAGGTGAAGAATCCATTACTTCCCCTGGTGATTCTTTCCCACAGTTAATCATACTCACTAAAAATGTATGATTCTTTTAGATGAGGCAGACTTGAAGTCTTGCCAGCTTTTGATTACTCTCCCTTCCCCCAGGAGATTTTTTTTCTAAGGGTATTCAGCTCTGAATCCTGGATATATTCCAGTGTAAGAAAGTTCACTATGCATCTTTTAAGTTCCTAGAAAATTTCAGCTCAACACGGTACTCCTTCTGATTCCGAATTACTGGGCTGACATCCAGGAATCAATTTGTCCACCATTATTCCCCACTAAACAGTCAGCAAAGGAAACTAAAAGCAGTTACAGTAGCCAATAGGAAATCACAGTGGCCTACAACTAACAGAAAGAAAACCAGTTACCATAATCAATATACGGTAAGCAGATCAAAATAAGTGTTACCATATGCCAGAACGGTTCCATATTTACAAAGTTTGCCACTAAACATAAAACACATTGTCTTTCTAAATGCCTCTGCATGATTCTTTGCCTTTTTCCTTGCTGTTTAATATTTCTGTCCTGGTGCTATTTTTATTCCTTTCTGTCATATATTTACCTTCTGTCCATTTTCCTGTCTCTTTGATCCTTGGTTCATCTGAATTAGTACTGTTTCTCCCCCTCCTCCAGCTCTTAATTCTTCTTCATGACTACCATTCTCTTCCTGTGTTTCCACTTCTCCTTGAATCTTGTTCATTATATTATGTTTTTACATTAAAACATTTTTTTTAATTCAAGATATTACGTTACATTTCTTCAAAGAGACATTGTTTTTCTTTCACTTCCTTGTTTTGTGCTCTGTCTGGACAGCCTGCTGTTAATACACGTGGTAGCAAACAAACCACAGGCTTCACTAAGGAATGATGAATCCCATTATCTTATTAGAGATGGAAGAGATATACATGGTTGGGCTCAATCAAAACAAGGTGATTTCTGATATAGCTGTCTAAATTTTACCCTTAAATACTGCTTGGCAATTAAATGGGACTCACTGCCTAGAAGATGATTTTAATGTTTAAATTTCATTCTGACTTTCGCTTGCTTCCCTTTATTTTTAGTTAAAATTCAAGTGAATAGAAACATTACTGTTTTACCCTACTAATGATACTTTGGATTAAACTTCTCTAGATACATATTTCCGGCTTAACAATTAGCTAATCTTGGTTGTGCTGATCTCCTCAAGTCTCTGTCCTCATAGTTTTATATTACTTCTCTGTCCCAACAAAATATTCAAAGTTCACCTTTTTCACCATTTTACACAAAAATAATTAATACGCAGTGCATTTTCTCTAACATTTACTTACTGAGACTGTTTAAAATGAACTACAAAATACAAGCAGTCATGATAATGCACTGAGAGTTCTATCAGCTAGGCTACAAACTTAGGCACGGTAAGTCACCAGTCCCTCATTCCACTGCAGCACACAGTACACTACAGAGGAAATCAAACCAGCCCAGGTACCACAAGGTGAAGTAAATTATTCGCTTTTTCATCAGTATCAACAGGCCTACATAGAATCTCACACTGATATGGCTATACTATATTAAGCCAGTTTAAGTATCTCTATAGGACGCTGCATAAAGGAAAGCATAAGTACTTAAAAAAAGCACGTGTGTGAGCATGCAATATGTATAATTAAATATCACTGTGTTATAACTCCCTGAGAATTATTCTGAAGTGACCAGCTTTTTCTCTTTACAGCTCTGCCAGTTGCTTTCAAACCAGGCTAGATTTCAAACAGCCACTTGAGAGGTAAAAAGCTGTCATCCATTTCCAATCTTCTGATCTAATCACACCCAGCTCCCCCACTTAATAATTTAGCATGTTGACCTGATGAACATTCATTCTAATGCAGCTGAACAGACATTGCCCATGGGCTCACATTCTGCCTCTTACTTGTACAGCAAAATATCTGCTGCTTGAAGCACAGGGTAAGTCAACAAACCAACACTTCCTTCATTATTCTGGCTGGCACGCTTCATCTGTATGCAAAAGAAAAACAAAGGAATCGCACTCTTGGGTAACAGCATCACAGTCTGTGATTTTAATTACTTAGAATTCCAACTAACTTGATTAACTTTTCGTGTAATTCTAGACACACACACATATCCCATTTTATGTCCTATATTTATGAATTTTCCTACCCTGTTCTGATATTGTAGTGGGGAGAAAATACAGGCTTGTGTTTTCTTTCTGTTTGTAATCTTACCAAAGAAAATTATTCCAAACACAAACCAGTCAGACTGGGTTGCTACACTTATTATTGATAACCCCTACTTTTTAAATACCATTTTCAGAAATACATTTTTGAAATACTTTATAATATAGATATAAAAAGGCATTAATACCTGTGTTTCACAGAAAAGAGATCAAGACATAGTGATCACACACAGTCACCAGAAGTGTCAGTGACAGCTAGAACCCAGAACTAGAGAGGCAGAGGCCATGTTCTCTCCATTAGTTCATGCTGTTCCCCACAATCCATCCACTCTCCTGAAGTCCTTTACTGCTCTAGGATATGGACTATTTAAATTGAGATAGTCAGTCTACAGAAACTATTTCCATTCTAGCAACAGTGCATCTACTTTTTATTTTAGCAATAGTTAAATAGACCAAACCCCCTAAAATCTTACTTATTTCATTAAGACTACAGAAATACCTTTAGATTTTTCTCATCCTCTCATATAGATTCTGGCTTCTGTCTACATCTCTAAGTGTTTAGGGTTCAGGGGACCTAATTTGCAAAGTCTAGCACCTGTAACACTTATCTGTAGATTTGAAAAGTCAATCCAGTCAAAGCTGGATTTAAGAGCTTAACTTTAGAACCTTAGGTTTGAAAAGGTTGGCTTTAATCTATGCCATGCATTAACGCTGGTTGCTGTATTTAAGTTTTACTGTTTTTATTTAATTAAGAAGAAAAACACGAAAAAAGAAAACATCTGGACGTATTTAAGACTCCTCTGAACTCTGCAAGCCAAACTGCTCTTAAGATTTTTTTCCTTTTTTGATACTTCTCTCTCTTGCCTTTTGGGTTTTCTGCTTACTAAATGCCAAAATAAAATACAGAGAAATTAAATGAAAGAACTCTATTGATGGAGTCATCCTGATGCAGTACCAAGATTAAGAAGATGAACACTTGAAACTTGTAAAGGCAAACATTTAAGGTGCATTAACTTTATCACTCAGCACATTTTAAATATTTATAATTTAGAAATTATGAAGTATTAAAATTTTTGTTAATGTAGGATGTATAATATATAAATTATTATAATTTACATAAAATGATCCTATTATTATTCCTATTCCACTGTATGATTATTTTGCACCATCTTTCGTAAAATCTACAGAACAGTCACTCTTCATGGTGGGGAAAAAAAAAAGCAAGGCTCAAGGTTTCCACTGCAATATCTTGTAGTTGTTTTGCATTATTAAATAAGCATTGAAATAACTCCAAGCATTCCAGCAGGATCAGTTTGACAACACTAAACAAACCTTCTACTTAGTACAGCTTCTGTAAGTCTTTGCCAAAAATATTACCCCATACTTTCCAGCAGGAAAACATTCATTGATAGCAACAGACCTGGAAAGATATATTTTCCTCCCTCCACTACAGGACTAGAGAATTACTTAAACCTAAAGCAAGGATAACCAACGTACAGTTTGTACTTGATAGATAACTACTTCAAGGACAATAGTTCTACTGAATTCCCATGAATTTCCTTTCGATTTATGAAACTGTCCATACCTTCCACTGGGGCAAGCGTAGCAGACGTGGCACAGCAGTTAAGCACCCAAGAATCCAGGCAAGTTCTGCATGCTCAGAAACCTGGAAGTACAAAGTCAGAATCTATTCGAATCTTCTACATTTATATGCGTATTTTCTCAAAATCAATACAGATAAATAGTAGTAGAGATTAGAAAGCCATTTATTTTTGTCTAGTATTTTTTCATATGGTTAGGTGACATGCTAATGGAAAGTTCTGGACACAGCACAGACAATGCACAACATTCAAGCAGCATGCTGAGGTTCTTGATCCTATCCACTCATATTTTATTAAAGAAGGAAAATGCTGTAGCAGTAAGAGAGCTGAACACATATGTAAACCAACCAAGTGCTGGCCACTGTGTCACAGCCTCCCCAGACTTGGAGATGATACATTAATAGTTCCAAAACCTCTTTGCCTTTCTCGTTTCCACTGCCAATAAGTTACCCAAACCTCCTTTCTTCCACAACAGGGTCCTGAACACAGTAATTTTCCTTAACTATCCTCACCAGTCTCACCTGAGCCTTCCACCCACACAGAATCACAGAATTGTTGAGGCTGGAAAAGACCTCTGAGATCATCAAGTCCAGCCTATGACCCAACACCACCACATTGGCCAGACCAGGGCACTAAGTGCCACATCCAGCCTCTCCTTAAACACCTCCAGGGACGGTGACTCCACCACTTCCCTGGGCAGTGCGTCCCAGTGCCTGAGCAGCCTCTCCGTGAGGAAGGGCTTCCTGAGATCCAACCTAAACCTGCCCTGATGCAGTTTCAGGCCGTGCCCTCTCGTCCTGTCACTGGTTGCCCGGGAGAAGAGCCCGACCCCCACCTGACTGCACCCTCCCTTCAGGGAGCTGTAGAGAGTGATGAGGCCCCCCTGAGTCTCCTCTTCTCCAGGCTAAACACCCCCAGCTCCTTCAGCCTCTCCTCACAGAACTTTCCCTCCAGTCCCTTCCTCAGCCTCGTTGCTCTCCCTTGGACCCGCCTCAGCACCTCAAAGTCTTTCCTGAAGTGAGGGGCCCAGCCCTGCACACAGGGCTCGAGGGGAGGCCCAGGGCCCCATTTAAGTTCAGGCCAGACTGCCCTTAGTCCTTGCCTGAGCTATGTCACCCTGCAGCACAGCTGGCAGTATAGTAACTGTGGGTCCTTCACAGAAGCCTGATTTAGCAGCCAGAGAACAAGAAGAGTCAGGGCTGCTCCACCAGGCTGCAGATGCAGTCAGCCACAAGTCAGGCAGAAGCAGTTACCTCCCTGACCAGGACACAGTAGCTCAGGTGCAGTTGGAGGCCTGAGCTCAAGTGGAGCTCCAGGAGCACTGGGCAGAAGGTGCATGGGTGGAAGGTCTAGGTGAGCCCTGTCAGGGCCTCGAGTGCACCAGCAGGTCTTAATGATCCTGACCTGTCTGCAAAACAGGGATAACAGCTAACGGTTGTGTGTCTAACTTCACAGTATAGCCTGAATTATGGATTAATTTGGTGCTCAGTTCTGCAGTCCTAGCAAAACTAACACTGTTTTGCAGGTGAATGGAAAGGATCAAGTCCCCACAAACCCTTTGCTACAAAGGCGGTATGAAAAAAAGAGAAAGAAAGAAGACTCCACGTAAGCTCATGTCACAAACTCTTCATTCAACATTCCGGGGTGACCGTAGTTATAGTGAAATTTTAAGTCAGAAAGACACTAGACAGAGATGAATCCATATTTAGCTTCTTGATTTGTACCCTTCAGTTTTTGCATTTCCAATATTCCCTTTAGGATTAGTAAAATAGGCAAGCCTTGCTGATGCATATGCTCTAACTTCTTTCCAGTCATTTTGCTCTATTGCTAGCTACATATAAGACAATAATTAAAAAGAAAAAAAAGGGAAAAAAAAGAGGTGATCTATGGTTCTGCACCTTTGCTTATATGTTTGATTCACTCTTTTCAATATTGGCACATTTGGATGCTTAAGAGCTAACCATCTCAAAGATGCTCAAAGCTCCATGCTTACAACACAATACAGCAACCCAGATGGAAAGCAGTAAAAAGCATTTGTTAACAAGTAAGAATTACTGGCATTGTTAATGGCAATTCCTTTGTTTTCACATTTTAAACGTAGCAATTTTATAGCTAACAGTCAAGCTATTTTGGTTGCCAACGTTGCATAGAGGTATGTGAGCTCAAGACAACAGCTAAGTGATTAGAGATATGAAATATTCCACGTTGATTCTCTTTCCC